AAAAAACAAAAACAGATCTCTCTCTCTCTCTCTCTCTCTCTCTCTCTCTCTCTCTCTCTCTCTCTCTCTCTCTCTCGCACACACACACACACACAACACACACACGATCAATGTATAGAGGGGGAAGAAAAAAGAAAAAAATGAAAACAGATCACCCTCTCTCTCTCTCTCTCAATGTATGGAGGGGGAAGAGAGAAAAAAGAAAAACAGATCTCTCTCTCTCTCTCTCTCTCTCTCTCCAAGGAATCGTTTTTGCCACGCGGAGAGAAGATAGCGGGCGGGGAGGGTGGAGGCCGAGTGGAGTTGGACGGGAGGTGGGCCGCCAGCCGAGGGGAGGTGGGCAGAGGAGAAGACGCCAAGGCGGAGAGGAGATGAGGGAGGAGGCAGAGAGGAGAGCGGGCGAAGGCCGACCGGTGGGTGGAGGCATAGGGCGGAGCCCGAGGGGAGGTCGACAGAGGTACCAGGTGGGGGTGTTGCGGAGGTGGGTGGAGGTAGCGGGCGGAGGAGGTGGGCAGAGGTGGACAGGAGGTCAGCGGAGGCCGAGGGGAGGTTGGCACGCACAGCGGGATGTGCAGCGGGATGTCAGGAGGAGGCGGACGCGAGATGGGGGGAAGGCAAGGGGAGATGGGAGATCCCAATGGCGGAAGGGAGGTGGGCGGAGGCTGACAGGAGGTCGTCAGAGGCGGTCAGGAGGTCGTCGGAGGCCGAGGGGAGGTGGGCATGCACTGTTAAAAAAGAAAAAAAAAGAAGAAAAGGTGGGCAATGGGATGTCCAGCGGGATGGCGGATGTGTGGGCAGAGGAACGGAGCCCAGAGCGGAGGTGAGCGGAGGCGGAGAAGAAGTGGCGGAGGCCGAGCGGAAAGAGAGAGAGGACATGGCCAGAGGAGGCGGACGGGAGGCGGACGGAGGCTGAGGGGAGATTGGGGATCCCAATGGCGGGAGGGAGGTGGGCAGAGGCGGACAGAAGGTCGGCGCTGGCCGAGGGGAGGTGGGCAGGCACCATTTTTTTCTGTTTTATCTTTAAAAGGCGGGCAGAGGGACGGCGGATGTGCGGGCAGCGGAACGAAGGCGGAGGGGAGATGGCGTGAGGTGTACGGGACGTGGCAGAGGTGGAGAGGAGATGGCGGGACGAGGCGAACGGGAGGTGGCGGAGGTGGAGAGGAGATGGCGGGAGGAGGAGGACGGGAGGAGGCGAATGGGAGGTGGCAGAGGCGGAGAGGAGATGGCGGGAGGAGATAACCGGAGGAGGCGGACGGGAGGTGGCGGAGGCAGAGGAGAGGAGATGGCCGGGGGAGGCCGACGGAGGTGCGCGGAGACGGAGGGGAGGTGGTCCGCGGTGGGCGAAGGTGCGCGGAGGCCGAGCGGAGGTGGGTGGAGATCGAACGGAGGTGGGCGGAGGCCGAGGCCAGAGGCGATGGCGCAGGCCGCGATCTCTCTCTCTCTCTCTCTCTCACAGACACACACACACACACACACACACGCACACACACACACACACACACACACACACAGGGGATAGGGAGGCAGAGGCAGAGGTGGAGAAGAGTTGGCGGGAGGAGATGGCGGAAGGAGGCGGAGAGGAGGTGGCGGAAGCGGGGGAGGAAAGAGAGAGGATCTGGCGGGGGCAGGCAGACGGGAGGTGGGCGGAGGCAGTGACGCAGGGCGCATTCTCTCTCTCTCTCTCTCTCACACACACACACACACACACACACAGGGGATAGGAAGGCGGAGGAGGAGAGGAGTTGGCGGGAGGAGATGGAGGGAGGAGGTGGATGGGAGGTGGCAGAGGCGGAGGAGAAGTGGCGGAGACGGGGGAGGAAAGAGAGAGAGGAGATGGTGGGGACAGGCAAAGGGGAGGTGGGCGGAGACGGAGGGAAGGTGGGCAGAGACGGAGTCACCTCGGAGTACAGCCTTGCAAGGCACGGGTCGAGGGCGCAAAGTCAGAGGCCGTTCGACGCGAGCAGGGCCATAGCGCCGCCGGCCCTGCAACGGGCCAATAGCCAGCAGGCCAGCAGGTGCCTGGACAGTTCTTTTACGACGACAGGCCCTCTTTTCAACGGCTGTGACGATCTAGGCCGCCCGAGGTCCTACCAGCCCGATGGCTCTGACCGTCCTGCGATCTTAAGACTTTAAGATCGCGCGACGATCCAGGCCGCCCGGCGAGGCGGATGGTCTGGATCGCCGCGCGATCTTAGTCTTAAAAGTCTTAAAGTCTTAAAGATCGCGCAGAAATCCGGGCCGTCGGCCGGTAGGCCAGGGGCGGGCCGGATCGGCCAAATGTTCCGCGCCAAATAGTGATTTCTATAAGTGTAGGGAAATCAACCAAGGGTAGTGTTGCCCAAATGCATGTGGAAAAGAACTTGGTCAAACCGAGCAACAGAAGGCTCGCGCCTCCGAGGCCGGCTCAGGAGATAAAAGTCAGAAATCCACCATTACACAAGCAATGTGACACTCTTGAGATGAGCCAACCCACCAATGAAAACAGTTAGCAATATGAAACACGATAGATCCATTCTATCATTTTCTTGATTATGTTTACCTCAGCTGTCTTTGAGAGACCTCCCATTTCATTTGTTCTTGCAGCTCTCCTCTTACTGTGCCTCCCATGGACAAGGCTGGCCATGTTGATGAAGGTTGGGTTGTGGGCGGGTGGGTGGGTGTGGGTGCGGGTGTGGGTGTGGGTGTGTTTAAAAAAAAAAGAAAAGAAAAAATCACAGAACATCATAACCACCTACACATACCTAGCTGGCGTGCCTCCTCAAGGGAAAGTTCTAGAACTCTCTTTGCACGAGGTGTGAACGGGATCTCCACTGCAACGAATCCGCTCCCGCGCCCAATGATCTTTTCCACCTCCACACGTGCCTCCTTGAGATTGACACCCATTGACTTCAAGACTTTCGCCGCAATGCCCGTCCCTTCTCCAATCAGACCCAGCAAGACCTGCTCTGTCCCAACAAAGTTATGTCCCAACCGCCGTGCCTCCTCCTGGGCAAGCATTATAACCTTAATCGCCTTCTCCGTGAATCTCTCGAACATCGCAACCGCAACCCCTCTTCTTCCTCTCCCACCTCCATCTCCCTTTACCAAACTCTTTCTGACAAGGCTGGCCAGGTCATGAGAGCAGCAGTACCGGCCACCTGGCGTGCCCAGGAAGTCAACGGCGCCTCTTTTTCTGAAGCCAGCAAAAAATGTAAGGGACTTCGATGCCTTGGGTGCAACCTGCTTTTTTTCTCTGCATTGAGGAAGACATGCCTTCGGAACGATCGCTCCTGACTGTCCCTTCCAGCTCACCAATCGACTGGATGAATCACCATCTTGGGTTACCGCTGACGATGAGATAACAACGGCAGTTGCATTAACTTTGGCCACTGCCACTGCATGGGCAACGGTCCCTGCCATGGCTGATGCTCCTCTCCTGCACACACAGCAAAAACCAGTCAAAGTTGGGAAACCTTATGTTTGCCAGACGTGTCCGTCGCATTCAGTCATGTGGACCAGCATTGATTTCCTTTGCTACTTTATAAGTGTGAGGACTGAGCCCTCACGAGGCCCTTACAGACATGCAACTGTTCTGGGCTGTGGCCCCCAGCAAGCATTGTGCCCGCCCTCAGTGAAGGTGGGCCTGAATATCTACTTGAGGCCTACTTTCGACATTTTCCATATGTGGGGTATCAGACAGTTGACGCACGCCAGTTGGTTACCGAGCAACGTGAGCCTTCGGAGGCTCCTTCCAGAAGCAAGAGTTACGCTGTACGGTTGAGCCCAGGGCTCAGGCGGTTGCGCCTTGGGCACAGGCTGTGGGAGGCCGACACATCACGGACTGGCCGCTGCCCAATGAGAATGCAGCATTGTCGTCACACATGCACTGCGAGCCAATGAGAATGCGGCAAACACTTGGAGCCTGGAGGAAAGCCTGGATGTGCCCAACTGTAGAGGGTCCAGGCGCGTAACAGGACAGGTGGACCTGGGCACAGACACTGGGGCCCGACTGGAAGCTACTGGAAACTCGTCCAGCCAGGCCCATGCAGCCGAACACAGGGCCGCACTGAGTGCCCTGCCCAGGCAGGGGCATTCTGGCCTGTGCAGGCACTGCGGCCACGTCGGTGCATTGTCATGCAAGCAGCTGGGCTAGCGCTGCTGGCCAGGGCACCCGGGCGCTAAGAGGTGAGAGGGCGCTGTGGTGGCAGCGGGCGCACGGCAGCCATAGCCGTGCCAAGCGTGCAGGTAGCAGGTGATGGCGATGATGGTCTTTGCGTAGGAGGCGCATGAGGTGGGGTGTCGAGGGGTGATGAGGGGAGGAGAGAGAACGTACCTGGTGTATGCTGGCAGTCTGCATAGGTCATGATGTCACGTACAATGGTCTTCAACTTCAAAGTGATCCAGTCGCATGAACGTAAATAGGATAGATAGGCTGAGTAGTGTAGGCTGGGCGCTGGGCGCCAGACAGTAGGAGCGACATTGGATACGGTGTTGGTGTAACCAGAGAGCGTCCGCATTGGCACTTGAGTTCATTGTATTGCTCTTGTTTGGATGGTATCTTGGTGCATTGTCTCCTGCTGAGTGGACACTTCATCTGCAGTGGGCTTCTTGAGTGGCGCAGATAGGGGTGTTAGATTAAGTAGGGTGAGTGGCGATTGGCAGGCTTGATAGGTTGGATGCTTGCAAGCACCACAGCTAGAGCTTGAGGAAGAGGGAGGAAGAAGAAGACTCCCGGATACTTCGATGTAACCTTGTAAATAGTTCCGTGGGTGTTGAGAACGTGCGTGAGATCCTTGGAAATTTGTTCTGTCAATTGACTTCGGGAGAGACGGTAATTAGAATTGGTTTTCATTTCAATTCTATTTTCGGTATTTGTGTGCTTCCACTCTGTATTCTTATCATCCGGTGTGGTGTGGATTGCTCCCTCCAAGGTCGCTTGTCATTGCAGATGTGTATGGGAATGTGTGGATCCCATGTTGGATCGCGTTTCAATCCGACACATAACAGTTGGTATCGGAGCCACGACCGCGTGCATCTAGTGCACTAATCGGTTGGCCATCAACTTTCTGGCCAGCAGTCGGCGGTTTGGGCAGTGGCCCACATTCTTCAACGTGCGGCGATGGTGATAGTTGCTGATTGATTGGTGTCAGGCGTTCTCCCGGATTGAGCTGACCCTCGGCGGCAGATTTGGGCGTTCTCCCGACTGCCGACCCCGACCACCGACCGTTTTGCACCCGACCAGTAAGGCCGACCGGTCGGCAGTCTGCCGTCAGAAAACAGCCATCCACTGATCTGAGTTGGGGGCTGTACTGCTCTTACTGAATACAGCCCAAATCTGCTGAGAAACTTTTAGTAATGCCGGGGGGGGGGGGGGGTAGTGAGAGGTCGGGGGGGGTACAGGGGGGTATGGGGGAGTTATGAAGGGGTATCGGGTGGGTAATGAAGGTGCTGGCTGAGGTGGCCAAACGTGCCTGTCCCTTCTACAAATTCTAAGGGTAAGAAAAAATATTAGGGCCACTTATTCCCCGTTGAATTTAGTTTTTTTTTCTAAAGGGCCCCCAGCAGAGCATCTGCAGGGCCCTCACAACTACTTACTGCCTTAGCTCTCTCTTTCTTTTGTTTTCCTTTTCCTACGAGCAGTGGCCCTAAGGGCCTGGCTCCACGCGTCACCACTTGCACAAAAGACAAAACATGTGGCGGCGTATGATTCCATGTTCTAGCAGAAGATTCATTCTAGTTTTGCACATTTGGTGAGTAGTGGAGGGAAGCCCTGAAAATCACGTGGTGAGTTGGCCTGCTACTGCCCAGTTCATCACGTGCTCAGTGGTCCCATAACTGATGAAACACAGACCTTAATGTGAATCGACACCATATATAGTTGGTGTGCTGCTGCCTTGCAATGTGTTTGCGAGCTGCCTCTTTCTCGGCGAGTAGGCCCTTGCTAATTATTAGCAGGGGCCTCTCAGATTACCTGCTAGGGTTCCCTGATCAGTGTCAAAGGCCTATTTGGTTCCTCTCTCTCTCTCTCTCTCTCTCTCTCTCTCTCTCTCTCTCTCTCTCTCTCTCTCTCTTTTCCGCATCAGGGTTATTACGGGTTCTGGACAGATTTTTTGTTTTTTCTCAAGTGCCAACAACCCCCGACACGCAGGTACCGACCAGGGGACCGGTCGGCTGGTCGGCAGCCGGCCGGTCAGGGGCCGCCAACCGTCAGGGTGTGCAACACTGCTCGGCGGTAATTAATAACGGTGTCAACCAGTGTTGCACACGCCGACCGTCGGCGACCCCTGACTGGTCGGCTGGTCGGCACCTACCGGTCGGGGGTCGTTGGCACCCCACAAACGAAAACAAAAAAAAAAAAATTGGGTCCAGAACCCCTAATAACCACACGAACACCCCCATACCCACCCCAAATACCCCCATACACCCCCCCAACACCCACAAACCGGCCCTCGACACCCTCATAACCCCCCCCAATACC